GTAGTCATCAGCCATAGTAAGAGATGTTGCAATTCTCCAAATACTAAGGAAAGAGGCTTCAATGCTTCCTTTAATATAGGATACACTGGACTATCCTTTATGAAAAGAGGGGAGAAAATGCTGTCCCATAATTCATTACAATGGACCATCTGACCATAAATGAAAACATTCAACCTAATCAACAAAGTAACACAGATCATGTACATTTTAACTGCTTTTTTCCAAGCAGCCAGTAGATGGCAGCCAAAGAGCAGCAGTGCCAGTGAGTTTGTGAGTAACACTGTGAAGCAGTTACTGTTTTACAGTTACATGGATGTTTCATATTCAGACTGCATTATTTCACATTACCTAGTGTATAAATATAGTATCTGTTTCATTTCCTAATACATAATAAAATCAAACAAACACTATAACAGTTATTTGAAACATGGCTGCAGTAACAGGAAAACAGGAAAAGGAAAGTCCTGCATTCACAATCTACTGAAACATAAGAGCAGCGTCATTATTCATTATCTTATCAGCTCGTTAGCGGTGATGTATCCATATAAGCAAAGTCATTCTGACTATTTGTTTTGTGGGTCATTTGAAGGTTGGGAACCACTGGACTGAACTAATCAATTGTGTCTACAAACCCAGTTTCAGAAAGTTGTAACATTGTGTAAACTGTAAATGAAAACAGAATGCAGTGACTTGCCGATCTCAGAAAGCCATCTTTTATTCACATATACAGAAAAATATCAGAAATCTACTATTATCATTTACAGAAACAAAAAGCTCACTTTGAATTTGATGGCAGTGACATGTCTCAAAGTGACATGACCAGCGATAAAAAGAGCATCTCAGAGATGCTCTGCAAAACCCCCCAAAACTGTGTCTACAAACTGTGGAGCAATTTCAGAAAAATGTTCCTCAACATCAAACTGAAAAGAATAATATCATCAAAACATTCCAAGAATCTGGAGGAATTTCTGTGTGCAAAGGATAAGGCTGAAAATCAATAATGGATGCCCGTGACCTTTGGGCCCTGCTGCATCACTGCACTAAAGCAGGCATGATTGTCATGAAATCACTGGGAGGGCTCGGGAACACTTCTGGAAATCACTGTCTATGAACACTGTACTGTTCACAAATACAGGTTAAAGCTCTATCATGTGAACATGATGGTGAAACACCGCCATCATTTCTGGGCCAAAGCTCATTTTAAACAGACTGAGGCAAAGTGGAAACTGTTCTGTGGTCAGAGATGCCCTGAGCGCATTTCCTCTATTTTCCTCTCTTTACTTTATTCTCACTGTGGCCAAGATCTGCTCAAAGGTGGAATACTTAGGTTTCTCTCCATCTTGTTGCAATCTCTGAGATCATCTGGTGCTAGATACAGTTAATAAACATTAATCGAGCTCCTCGAATATTTACTAGACTGGACTTTAAATGCTCATTTCCAGCTCAATATTATATTTCTGACTATAGCAGAATATGTAAGGAAAGACATAAAAAGTGTCCTTAAAGAATAGTACTTCAAAGGAAATACTGGTGATATACTCAACTCACCTTGTAGGTTTGCTTGTCCACGGTCTCCACCACAACCATGTCTCCGGTCTGGTCGATCCTGTAGACTGGAGACTGCAGCTTCACTCGGTCTCCCAGCTCCCTCGCCATGCACTGACTCACCTGATTCGCACCCCCTACAAACTTCCTCTCCTTGAGACACAAAGAGAGCAGAGTTCAGTGAGCACCAACAGGGAGAGCAGATGCAGCAACACTGGTTTCTATTTATATTGGGTGGAAGTGACTCTGATCCCCCTCTGGGTACCCCTCAGCAAGGCTAATAAACTCCCAGTTTGGAATGAAGCTGATAAAATCCCCTGATTTATCCTGGTGATACACACCAGTTATCCTCAGTCCGCCTTCATTTCCTTCACTACAAATTTCTGCATCTTAATTCAAAAGAAACACGTTCATAAAGCCAGGCCAGCAAATGTTAAATGATGAAGATGACAGTGAGGAGGTAGAGAGGTTTGGGCTGTCAAAGCTCCGATACACAAAACCATTTCCATGTGGTTAGTATCAACATCTCTCTCATCCCTGACCAGAAACACATTGTGTGCATTCCTCTGTGGCATTTGGATGAATTTGTCGAGCAGTCGCTGAGAAAGCACGAGCTAAACCTAAATCAGTCCTGGGCGGTGAAACGAGGTGAGCCTCTTCTTGTCTTGTTTGATTAAAGACACATTTGCAGTTTTGCAGGAGGAGTGCAGCTGCACTCGAAGCAATGCATACCAATTGCATATCCATATGTTTAAGATGACTATGTGTAAATACTTCAAACACCCCTATGTATGCACCATCCACAAGGCGTGTAAGCTTTAAATGTGAAGCAAACAGGAAGGAGCCGACTGCACTACTGTTTGTCATTTGTTTACCAAAGCCTTTGTGGCTATGGGAACAAGGCCCTCAGCTTGAAGAACGGCAGCAGAAAAGACGCCCTGAGTATTCCAAGAAAACATCTTTTGTGTGGACAGCATCTTATTCAGGCCAGACTAAGGAGACTGGGCTGTGAGGGATCTCCCTCTGACGTTCACACTGCTCCTCTGAATCACTGAATGAATCTGTGTGAGAGGCAAAGAACGCAAGTCCACTTCTTGGCACGCCGAGAGAATATTCTGTTTGTTCAGACAGATATATAAAAAAACGAATTCTTTCAGTCTGTTGTTCTGAATCAGTAGGTATAATTTTGGGCAGATATACCTGTCCTCCATTGGTGGTGGAGCAGATCCTCATTGTTCCTCCGCACTGTTTGACGTACCAGAGTAACCAGAGAGCCGACACCTCGTGGGGTTCAGCGGTCACGTTTACGTTGACAAACAGTGTGGCGAAGCGACGAGCAGTTCTGGGAGGGATTACATGGAAGGTAAGAAGTCTTTAAATACTGCAGGTACCCCAGTCACAATTTTTATATTCTGTAAGAGTGTGAACAAAGCACAAATAAATCACCATGTCAGGGATTTCTGTTTGCTTGTCCTACTTTTCCAGCAGAGACTTGCACATAATCTACATTTGAGCAGTTTCAAAGTTGAACTAAAGTTTTATTTTAGTTTAATATAGGATACATTACAGGATTAATTCAAACGCTGGAGCAGTACAATCATTTAATTAGTGAAGGACTGTTATTTCTATGTTGTTACAAAAATGTAATTTACTTTTTACAAGCTGCATATTTTAAATTTACACAGTAATTAGATTATCAAAAACATTCTCACTCACAGTGCATCATATACTGAAGCTTCTCCACCAAAAACCTCTATGAAACAGCTACAACCTTCAGCATCAGTTTTCAAAGTTTTTGCAGGGATGAGAATTCTTATTCTTATTAGTGCTGACACAGGAAGCTGTAACCATTTCCACCTCTGCAAGTTTGAGTCACTGAACTGGACCTCTTAACCGTGACTGTGGTGTTGGAGATCATTTTATTGGAATTAGCCAATTAACCAAAATTAACCAAAGAGCGTTAATTTTACTTCCAGCTTCAGTGAGTGGAATTCTAGCATTTCATGCCAAGTCTGTTGTGCAGAATGCTGCACCCATGAAACCTTAGTAACTGAGGTTGCTAACATTAGCTTATAACCTAGCACTCCACCAGCCAGCCTCGCTGACTCATATGAGATATTAGAAAATAAAACGACATTTCTTTTGTTAGAGACCACCTTCAACATTTGTGTCACTTGATTTAACAATAAAACTTTAAACTGGATATAAACGAGATAACAGGATGAATAGCTAGACCTATTCTCTGCACAAACGGGAAACATTTTGAACATGTTACCTGGTCCAGCAGAGTTTTTCAAAGAGTTCCTGCATGGTCATCTTGTCCCACTCCTCAGCATGGGGAGCTCTCCAGGGAGCGTCTCTGGGAATCTGAAATGCAGGAGGGTGTTCAGCATGAGTCAGGCATGTAGCAGGTGTGCAACCTGTCCAGTAAACCAATCTAGAATGCTTATTAATAAGAATACTCATTAATAGTGAGAACTGCTTTACCTCCTCGCCCATCTTATCCATTGTTCTAAAGAGGTTGTTGAAGTCCATCAAAGCGATGGGGTTCCACATGGGAGGCAAGGAGCCTTTGAACGGGTAAGACTTTCCCTGTTGGACACATGATTGCGGCCACCATCACCAAAACAATATTCTTCAATCATCAAATAACCATTGCTTATAAAAGCTGTGCTTAATGATGGCAGCATTTAAAGAACAACATTTCAGCATTTGCCGTTAAAGATTTGTTTCAGTTGACCTCTAACTGACCGTGAAAGCAGTTTGAAGAGTGGTGGAGAAAGTGGAGTAATAGCTTGTGCAATGTTTACAACTGAATCAGAGATATTGAATCATTAAATGTGATAAGAGTAGCCATAATCTAAAGCCATAATTTTTATGCCTGGTCTAGTTTATTTCTGCATTTCTCAATCACACACAAAGACATACAAACACAGAGGTGACAGTCAGGGGTAGATGCAGTGGTTTCAAAACTATCAAGGTCACTTATTTGTGTTCTGGTTTCCAAAACACAATTGTAACTAGAGATGAATTTTTGTTGCTTTCTAGCAATGGTCTCTTAGCTACGTGTTGATGTAACCTCAAATAATCTCTCCCGTAATATGGCATTTAGCTTGACAAGGACATTTATTTCAAGTCCCATTAAACACAAACTGTTTGTTGAAATGCCCTCAGCCTCACAGAGCTGCTAGCTCAGAGACACTGCAGCTGTCTGCAGCTGTATTGAACTAATAATGGCTCCTATTATTTACATTCTCTTAACTTATTGTGTTGTGTAATGTGATACCACTGTAATAAAGGAAAAAAACAAAACAAATATCAAAAGTGTTTAGTTGTTCATTTCATTGTCCAACAATGCAGCTGTAACTGTCCAGCTGTTATGTAGCCCTAAAATTTTCTTGTCACGGTTAAAGGTAAATCCGTTACTGAGCTAGTCTAATGTCAAATATAGCAATATTTCTTTTTTTCTCCTCGCAAAACTCTCTCAGTATCATTGAAAATCATTATTAATGCATAAATATTACAGAAACAGAAATGTGTAACCTCTTAAACTACAAGACTCAACTGTAGTGGCATCACCAAAAAGTATGATTATGCTAAGAAAAAACAAATCTGTTAGATTAGCATAAAAAAGTACATGGGTAAGCACAATAAAGTGTTTCCTAAGGGGTAATTATAAGAAATAAGACTTTTAATTATATTATCTATAGCAAGGGTTCTGAAATTTCGATGGACGGTTGCAAAGGAAAAATGCACAAAATTAAGAAAAAAAAAGAAAGGCAAATTGTTCTCATACTGTCCCACGGCATGGCAAATTCGGTATCAACAAATTCTGTCATTTTCACTGGAGAGCCACAGAAAACAATTGAAGATTCTTTGAGAACCCTAGATCAATAATAAGCTCACACATTTCTCAGATCAGACTCCTCAAAAACAATGAAAGAGAAGACTTCTGTTGAATAAAAATAGCACAGCAAAGTGTTGTGTGACTTTCACTGCTTAAAACATGTAAAAGGAGCTGCACAATCATTTGTGATATTACTAGATTTAGCCATTTACTGAAATAAAATGATCACCTGTTTGTTTGTTTGTTTGTTTGTTTTTAAAATGTGATGTGTGTGTCAATGCAAGGTGACAGCACCTTTGTTTTTTAGTATTCACAGTCTGTTCTTCACTGCTACACAGAATTCAGTGATAGACAGAGAGGGATGATGATGATGATGTGTCTCACTGCAGCATACTGTATCTGCTTCTGTGCACAGAACAACAGGTCTGTCTCCATGGTGACCACGGCCAAGAGAATACAGAGGGAGGAGAGAAGAGGAGGGGGAGACGAAGCATGGCAACATCTGTTTCCACATCAGCGAGCAGGGAAGTGCCCTCAATCAGAGGACCAAACGAAGACTGCTTGAAGACAAAGGTGACTGTACTTCAGAGTAGGAGGATTTTATGACAACCATATAAAGATCAAGATTTCAATTAATCTCAGAAATCGCTAATCACTGCCCTTAGACTTTTATCCAAATTACATTGTACGCTCTTATCTGACTTCTAAACAAACATCTATGATCAATAAGTATTTTATTGCCCAACGTAATATACAGTACTGGGAAAAATGTTTGCTCTTCTTGATTTCTTATTTTTTAAACTACATTTAGTTTTAAAATTTAGTAAATTATTAAATGATTAGATTAACTAATCATTTCATTTAATAAGGGAAAAAAGCTACACAAACCTACCATGTCCTATTTGAAAAAGTAGTTGCCCTCCCTTGTTAAATTGTGAATTTACTTTGATCAGCCACATTTTTTGGAAAGCTGACCTTTGAAAAGTTCACTTTCAACTAGCCCCACTAATCCAGAAATCACTTAAATATAACCTGTCTGACAAAGTGAAGTAAGCTAAGCAACACGTCATGCCTTGATCTATAGAAAGGCAAAAAAACAGCTGAAAGACAAAGCCACTGACATCTATCAGTCTGGAAAACCTTTTCTAAGACTAAACCAAGTGGAGAGCTGTTATTCAAAAGTTGAGAAAACTTCCTAGGAGTGGCCAGCCTACCAAAATGACTCCAAGAGTGCATCAATGACTCGTCCAGGAGGTCACAAAAGCACCCAGAACAACATCTCAAGAACTGCAGGCCTCATCTGCCTCAGTTAAGGTGTTCATGATTTATCCAGTAAGAACTACATAAGGCAAAAATGGTCTCGATGGGAGAGTTTCATAGCAAAACCCACTGTTGACCAAAAGGATTATAAAGGCTCGTCTCATATTTGCAAAAAAACATCAGAAAAACAGATTTGATTTGGTTGCAAAATAATGCAACTCCAAATAATATATCTGAATATGTCAAAGTGTGTCTAAAAATGACAAACTGGTGTATCAGATGGCTGTTCCCTCTGCTTTTTGCCAGCTCTCACAAGCTGGTGGCTTCTTAGTGAATGTGCAGCACTTGGCATTCTCTAAAAGCAAGCTAAACAGACACAGCTGGTACGGCCGTTTCCCTCACTGGTCCTGTGAACGTGCAAACATGCACAGCATCCAAAGTGCTGCAGGATCCAAGGGACAATCCCGGACTCTTTCTCAATCTCTGATAAGCAAGCACAGTATTTAATCAAAGTCTGTTTCCCCGTCTCTGATAGTGATCCCTCATTAATGAATCCAGTGCTGAGAGCTGCATTTGCCTGTTAGGCGGTGGTTTGCTGATAAGGGAAAGCAGTACTGGCCTTTTGGATTACAATCTGCCATAGAAAAGCTGATTAGCTACATGGCTTGCTTGAAAGCTAGCTGTAATTACACAATGGCTTGGGACACATGCTGATTTACAATTACTCTAGCTTTTGTTCTGTGAAGAAATGTAGAGGGTGTCAAATGGGTTAGATCACTGCTTACTGTTCATATAAAGTCTTATTGACTTGTGTCACCATGTGAAACTATGAGTTTATTCTTTTGAATTTCTTCTTTTGTAATTCAAAGCTACTGACAAACAAAAAGGTGTAGTAAAACACTAACACACACACACGATAAAAATATAGGTAATAAAGACTGATTGCTGTGAACTGCCGATGCAGGGATTGGTTCTCAGGTGTAAGATAATAAATCATATCAAAACACCACCTTTGAAGCCAGTCTAAAGATTTCTTGTATTTCTATCTTGCAGGGCATTCATTATTGGCCAACATAAAATGCAAACAGTTTTACAATATCTAATGGTTTCCAAAACCCTGACATTTTCTCTGAAAGGCCCCATTTGAATAGCTACTAGTTTTGAGTTTGCTTATCACTGTGATTATTATAGCATTCTAAGACTTCCTTTACTTCACCTTAATATAGGTTGTTTCTTTCTGTTTAATAAGTTCTACCTTGAACAGCTGGGATAGGCTCCAGCGCCCCCCGTGACCCTGAAAAGGATAAGCGGAAGCGAATGGATGGATGGAAGTTCTGCCTTGAGAGCCTTTCATTTGGGTGTTTTCGCCACACCCATAACAGGGTAGCCACTTCCATCACAGCTTAATGGTAAGCTCAGTCCACCAGCTGGTAAAAGGGAAATAATGTGAGCATCCCATCCCATTTTTAGCGCTTTAAAAAGGCATTAGTTACAGCTACGAGTAGATGCAAAAATGGAGAGAAGAGAAGGAGCAAGACTCTTAACTTCCATCTTGGACCACTGTAACACTTGTTGGTGTGTGAACGTGTATATCAGTGTAAGCTGTGAGAGCAGTAACACTAGAATATGCATACACAAAAGCACAAACATGTGCACACACAGAGCACATACACACTGCCTGACAGTGATAGGTGGGAGCTGCTTTTGATGAGGCATGCTGCCATGGAAACCAGCCAGGAAGCTACGAGTGGCGTGTGTGAGTCTGAGTCTTCGAGTGGATCTTACACAGATAGTAGCTAGGGAGACACAGTCACATGGGAGCTCCCATACACCAGAATGGAATAATTTAGGGTTCACATAACATGCCACAACAGCAGAAATAGAGAAATGTGTTTTCTAACTGCTGTCTGTGTTATGCTGGTGATATTTCGCAGCGCTGTTGTAAGTAGGTTAAGTCAATAATACATCAGTGCTAGGGACAGGGTGGTGAAGATCACGAAACCATGCTTCATTGTCAATCAGTCGCTAAATAAATGGACTAAACAAAAACCACAGAGAGCACCCTGTGTTCTTGATCAATATGTTACCCAAGTAATCATAGCACAGAAGACTTCTCGTCTTTTCCTGTGCCTGGATGTTTTAAATTCAACAAGGAAAACACAGGGTGGCTTTTTTAAAAGCAGCCAAGTGAGATCTAGAGCAGGGGTAGGCAACCTTTCTGATGGCGAGTGCCATTTAAAATTTCCTCAGAGGTCAGTGTGCCATATGATTGCATTAGCAATAAATTTAATAACGCTCTATATGAACAGTTACACACTACATAGAACAAGTTTACAGAATTATATTTGTTTGCAGATGTTGGCAGCTATCAGCAAATAGTTATCAGCT